CGAATGTCAACTCGTGAAGCTTTCCTGATCTGCTCCCGAATTGCCATAGGCAGGGGAATAGGAAATTGCACCTCGCAGTTGCACTGAGGAATTCACACATCAGTCAAAACAAAACACATCCTAGCCGCCCAAAGTCAAGGCTATCTTCACGGAGACCTGCCAGAAGGAGTGACTTCTACGACCCACAAAATTGCTACATTGGGGAATGTGACTGGTGACACATTTTGTGGGGAGGGGGCAACAGGGTCAGGGGCAAGGCACGAACTGGGGGAAGTCAGAGTTGGCTTTACTTAGTTCATGTCAACATGGCGCTCTTAATAAAACCAGATTTTTCTTGCTAAATGGTTGGGGCTCCTGCTTTTGTTACAGCATTGGTTGGAACCTTGACAATAGGTTTCTGCAGTGTGCTTGCTATTGGCTGACATAGAAACAGGGAGTGGGGCATGGGCACTTGGGATGGGGAAGCGAGCTAGTGTGTAGTAGTCCCATGAGAACTGGAAGGGAGGTTTGCACTCATGAATTATGGCACTGTTGAGTGGAGCTGTTTATACTCCGTCAAGGCCAAAAGTCCTGAGACTCCAGATGCGAGAAACACCTGAAGAGGAGCTTTCCCATAACATCATACTGGATGTTGATTGGACTCTCAGTGCTGGACCATGAGGGGATGGATTTGAGATGATTTTCAATGTGTAATTTTTGCACATTTTGAATGAGATCTTGCCTTGTTTCGCTACTATCATTTCAAACTTAGTAAAAGTACCTCTTCTCTAATTCATTGGATTTGGGGGTTTTCTTTTTTGAGTTTTGAATGGAGGCAGGCCTGACCGTCCTCCAAGGTGGCATACATAAGTGGTGGGTGAAGGGATTTGCTTCTCCTGCCAATGAAGTGCTGATTTTGCTGACAATTTGGCAGCCGGCTCCCTTGATCAAATGGGAGCAGCTAGGAATGATGCAAAACAGCTCTCGGACAACCATGGACACTCCTAGGAAGAGGAATCCTGGAGGTTGCAATTCCTTTTTTTAAAAAAAATAATCTTTATTTACATTTCAGTTAAAAAGAAAAGACAACACAACATAAAGTGACACACAAAAAACAATACAACAATAAACATATGTACTTCCATATAGTACCTTAATGAATAAATATTCGGTACTATAACTCTAAATTATATTCCGGAGAAGACAGAACAGCTTATATACCTTAATACATCAATTAGGTCTATCCGACCTCACTTATCCTATATAATATAAATTTCTCATTAAATACCATTCCTCATCTAATGTGGATTATAGTTTCCTCTTTTCTAACCATTTATAGAATTTGTCCCAAGCTAAACCTACTTGTGTTTGCTCTCTATCCTGTAATTTTTTAGTTAGCATATCTGCTTCCGCACATTCTAATTTTTTTTTTTATAATAGCCTCCTCTGTTGGGATATTTTGATTTTTCCAGAGTTGAGCATACGTCAGTCTTGCCGCTGTAATGATATGTAGTGCCAAATAGCATAAGTCCCTTTTTATATTTTCCAGTTTAGCACCGAGCAGGCCAATCGATTTTTAACATTAAGATCTCATTGAGCCATTTTTTAATTTTCCCCCAAAATATCACTGCTTTCGGACACGTCCACCACTGGTGGTAATAGGTGCCATGTTCCCATCCACATTTCCAACAATCCGCCGACTGCCCAGAGAACATTTTAGCTAGTCTATCGGGAGGCAGGTGCCACCTGTATATCATTTTATAGATATTTTCTTTATTGGCCGTGGATACTACTAATTTCATATTATCCCACCAAATCTCTTGCCATTTATCTAAGTGTATTGGATACCCAAAATTTTTCCCCCAAGCGATCATGGAATCTTTGACTATTTCCTCACCTATCTCTATTTTCATGAGCAGTTTATAAGTTTTTGAAATCATGCCTTTTTCTTGGCCCATCAAGATTTTATCTAACTCTTGTAGGTCGCCATCAATACCTCTTCCATCTCTATCCTTTTGGTATTTAGACTGAATCTGCAGGTAACTCCACCAATCCATTTGCACTCCTTGAGAGGTTAATTCCTGTTTAGACTTTAATCTCCCTTGTACGTTCAACAAGTCTTTATATGTTAATTTTTTAGCCACGTTGTAAAGATTGGGATATGTCACTGCTTCTAAAGGTGTTAACCAACAAGGCGTTTTAAAGTAATATTTTTTACTGACTTTTTCCCAATTTCTTATATAATGTCGGATAAACCATTTACTCTGTGGGTAAACCTACGGCCATACTACCCTGAAAGCGCCCGATCCCGTCTGATCTCGGAAGCTAAGCAGGGTCAGGTCTGGTTAGTAATTGGATGGGAGAGGTTGCAATTCCTAGTAGCAGCAATTGGAGAGTTCAGTATCCATCTTTCCTCTCAGCTGTTCGGATTTTTAAGCATGGCTTAACCTTGGCTTTTAACTGCACATTTTAAGCTTGTTTCTTTTAATTTGATTCTTATTTTTAAAAGTTAATTGACTGGTTGCAGGCTGATTTACTCTAACCTCATGATGTATTTTAATGTCAACTTTTTTTCTTTTCTTCACTGTATATTTTTTGGGCTGTGAGCTACTTTCACTTTCTCTATGGAAGTTGAAGGCAACTTGTTGAATAGTGAAACTAACCAGATTGGATTTGCATCTATATCAGAGCCTTGATGGAGCAGTGGACTAAAGCGCTATTAAGTAGCACTTAGCTGTCAGCTGCCTGCAATTACTGTGAGTTCAAATCTTGGGCCTGGTGGCTCAGCAGACTGATAGCATTGTGATTAACACCAGCTGTCTGCAATTACTGTAAGTTCGAATCTCATCAGGCTCAAGGTTGACTCAGCCTTCCATCCTTTCTAAGGTAGGTAAATTGAGGACCCAGTTTGTGGGGGCAATAAGCTGACTTTGTATAAATATACAAAAGTATGAAGGCTATTGCTTAATGCATTGTAAGCCACCCTGAGTCTCCGGAGAAGGGCGGCATATAAATCAATTTTTTTTAAATTTTTTAAAAAAAATTTAAAAAAAATCTTACCAGGCTCAAGGTTGACTCAGCCTTCCATCCTTCCGAGATAGGTAAAATGAGGACCCAGATTGTGGGGGGAAATAAACTGACTTTGTATAAAAATGAACACCGCTTAGGGGGGCCCAAAAGCCCTACTAAGCAGGTATATACAAAAATATGAAGGCTATTCCTTAACGCACTGTAAGCTGCCCTGAGTGTCCGGAGAAGGGCGGCATATAAATCGAACCAATAAATAAATACATAAATAAATATATCAGATTTCACTACACGGTTTAACTCTTACAAAGCTGGATTTTTAAAAAAGTTTTGATGGAACTTTTTCCTTTTTTTCTTACCACCTTCATTGTGAGAAATATTGTTTTAATGTTTTGTGTGACCATTTTGTTACAGTACATTTAACTGTTTTGTCTTTGAAAGGAATTGTTTTCATTGGCTGTGTAAACTCAAATACAGAAAAGAGTGCTCTATATTAAAAATGCAAACAATACATCAGCTTAAAGATAAAGCCCGATGGGTTGCCTTTAGAAAAAAATGCTTTTTAATCTACAAGCTCAAATTGAAAACTCTGGTAAAAAGCTTGATAAAATTACCAGGTTTTCCAATCAATTGAAGAGGATACCCAGTTGCAAACAATTCTAGCCAAACCAGAGTTACAATTGGACCGACTATATTTGAAGAGGTAGCAATTTGGCTGGAAAATAGAAGGCCCATAGCAGAAATTTGAAAGTTTTAGGGAAAAGAAAAAACAAAGAAAAAACAAAGGCAAAATACTAATATAGTTATAATCTCAACTTTTTATATTACCAATTAGTGCAAGCCAATTCTATAACTTATACAATTATTATATCTTCAAACTCTAAATTTCATATTTTTCTATATTGAGCATAAAAACCAGAAACAATATCCCAATAAAAAATACTACCAGGTAAAATCTCTTTGTTTAAAACAATTTACATTGCAATCTCAAACAAATCCATTTTTTTCTTTTTTTTTCTTTGCTGTGGAAAGTTATACTCAGTATATTTCTATTTACACTTATTAATCTTTGTAGACTATGATCATTTATATTAAAAAAAGTTCACTGTACTCTTTCAAATTCTTTAACCTTAAAGAGAAACTTTAAAAAAAATCATTTTAAAAGGCTAAACTTTTCTTTAAAAAAATTCTAAAGTCAATAAATTCTAATACATTTAAAAAAATGTTAACGTATCGTGTTTCCCCGGGGATAAGACCCAACCAGAAAATAAGCCCTAGCATGATTTGTTAGAATGTGCCTACCCCAAAAATAAGCCTTAGTTAAGAGCGCCAGCTCTGGGGGTAGGGGGTAGGTGTGGCCAGCACAGGAGGTGGTGCGTGTGCGGGGGCCATGGCGTGGCACCCCCGCCCCACTCCCTGTCTCACCTGATCCGTTTGGTGGTAGTGCTGCACAACTTCATCAACAAGATTGCCAACAGAGATATCGAGAAGAAGGAGGGGCAGGAGAAGGAGAAGGAGGAGAATAAGAAGGAGAAGAAAGATGACAAGGAAAAGGAGAAAGAAAAAAGCGAGGCCAGCAAAGAAGAGAAGAAGGAGAAGAAGTACCATAGTAACCAGGTTTTCTATTTGTAAAATAAAAGCATTAGATTGCACCAGGCTGCTCTGGCTGAAAGTTCTTCCCTGTCGCTGGCTTGGGAGGGATCAAGAGTTAGATGAGTTCATGGCTGCCTGAAATGTGCTTGAAGCGGCTGCCGGACACGGAGTGGGCGGCCCCATTCCTCTGCCTCCGCTTGTTGTCGGTGCTGCCCACAGTGATCCCAGTTGCTGCAAGTGAGCGGTGAGCGGATTGAAAGCGAAAAGCGGGACTCACCCGTCATCCTTTGCACTGTGGAAGGTGGCAAAACATACAGAGGGCTCTTCTCTCAGCTAAGTAATCTGTATCTGCAAGTGGGAATGTCTATGAGAAACCCTACCACATCTCTTCTATTACTTACCTTTTATCATAAATAACAGTCCTCAGTGCGTTTGACAAGTCCTTTGATGTCATTTTAACTGCATCCAGCTTTACTCCTGCTCCTCGAGACTCTATCCGCACTGCGTTGTCTGCTTGATCTCCAAAAAGTGGTATTAATACCATTGGTACACCATGGCAAATCCCCTCATAGATCCCATGGGAGCCCGCATGTGTGATAAAAGCTCTGGTTTTTGAATGAGCTGTTCAAGATGAGAAGGTGGAAAAAGACAAGCATGCTTATTTTTCTGCTAGCTATAAAGCTAGGTAATCATATATGATGAATTTGCATTGTTATAAATAGAGCCATATAAATCAAAGAGTAATTGTTAAAATATTAATATGCGATTAACAACTATTGAAGAATTATGAGAGGAAACTTCTTTCCTCTTCATAATCCCCAACAGTGGATATTGTGGTATAGCTATAGACTGTCAGTTCATATATATGTGTCCTTTGTCTGGTGGGATATCTCCAGAGCAGAATATAAATGCCCTCTATCTATCACTATCCCTGTTTATTTCAGATCTCAACTCTCCTCAAGGGTAGAAAGCAATCTTTCGATCACAATCTCTATTTCTTGTATTACAGCATAAAAAGAATAACCCAGGCTGTTTTTGCGTAATTAATTTAGGGATCTACATGAATGAACAGAAGAGTTTTAAACCTTGGAACTTCTTGAAAAAAATCTAGCATAGCCTATCGAAACCTATGCATTTTTAAATGAATTTTTAACAATCACTGAAAATAAAAGAAAAATAATAATGAAATGCCAAACTACAGACACCACCTACCCATTCATCCATTCTTTTTCCCTGAAAAGGCATTGAGAAGAAATACTAATTATTGTACCCAGGAACAGGCATTTTATGCTAGGTCAGCGGTTCTCAACCTGGGGGTCGCGACCCCTTTAGGGGTCGAACAGCCATTTCACAGGGGTCGCCAAAGCCCTCTCTCGCCCCCCCCACGCCTTCACTCACCCTCACTCTCTGCTCTGTTGGATCGCCGGCCATTCGCTTATCCCGCCCACTCCCAATCTATTGCTGCCTCCTGAGTCCCAGCTGATGGCTAGAGGGAAAAAAACTGTTTAAATTCTTGCCGTGGGGCTTCAAAGGGCCGCCCTATAGCCAGTGGTGGGATTCTGCCAGTTCCGTCCCGCCCCTTGCCCTGCCCCTCCGCACCTCTATTTATTGCCAATAAATAGTGGTGGGCGAGGGGCGGGAGAGCCAGCAATTTAACAAATGGTTCGGTGTTTTTTTGTAATTTTATTGGCCCCCGGAGCTTCAGCATAGGCTAATTAGCCCTTGATTAGATCGGCTCCCGACTCTCAGCTGATTTGCTCTCAGTTGTTTTGCTCAGGGCTCTGCTGCTTGCTCGCTTGCTGGAGCAGATTTTTTTCCCCTAGCTATGCTGAAAAACGAAACTGAAAGTAAAGCAGGCTGTTGGCTTTGCTGTTGCTGCAACATTGGAAAATTAGGCAGGCAGATTTCTTTTTTTTCCTCACCAAAAAAGGTAGGTGCAAACAATGGGAAATTTAGGGAAAAAGAGGAGAGTTCAAGATTTTAAAACACAAAAGAAAAAAACCTCTATTTAACTAGGAAATTGTAATAATTCAGATACTATTAATTGTATATTGTGTTGAAAGCAGAAATGGTTAAGTTGTGGTTTGGAGGAATATATGGGGGAAATTATTTGGTTTATTATTATTGGTAAATATAATTAATTTTATTTGTAAGAAATTGGATTGCATGGAAATAATTGGAATATTCATGTTCATATTGATTAATATAGAAAAAAGGTAGTTATATAACTAATTGATTTATATTAAAATGTTGAATTTATATTAAACAACTGTAATATTACATAATTAATCAATGTGAGGATGGATATAAAAATAGATGACAATGGGAAGGGGTATAATATAGAAGAGAAGAGAAAAATTGAATTTGATTAAGATTAGAGATGAGGATGAAGGGTAATATTGGTTTTTTACAAAAATAGATGAGGAATAATGGCAAATATGGTATGGCATAAAGGAAATATAGCAAAAAGAAGAAGAGCTGAAGACGTGGCTCTTCCGCCAATTAAACTGATCCGTTTGGGGGTACACTGATATAATTTTAAATCGTTTTTAATTGGGTTACTGATTTTAATTTGGTATTGTATTGTGATTTGTATTGAAGTTGTCTTTTTGTAAGCCGCCTTGAGTCCCTAGGGAGAAAGGCGGCATATAAATCACAATAAATAAATTAAATAAATAAATAAAAAGGAATATGGCAAAAAGGAAATATAGAAATTGTAAATTTAATTGAAATGACTAAACACTGTTTAAATTTGTGAACCGGCCAAATACTCTATTCAAAGAAAATACATTGTATGTTTGTATGTGTGTTTCTAATTATTGTTATTTATTCATATTTGTTCTCTTTTATTCTTTAAAGTTTAACAATTCATTCTTTTTCTTAATATCTTTATATTTGTTTGGGGTTGGCTTTCTTCCCTTTCATCTTTTTTATTGTACAGCAATCTTTCTCCTCAAACCTACCACCTCTCTCTTTTCTTTCCTTCTTACTTTCTCTTCCTCCCCCTCTTCTTCTCCTCTCTACTTCCTCTTCCTTTCTCCTTCTCCTCCTCTCTTCCTTCCTCTCTTACCCTCACTCCTACTCTAATTTCCCTTCCCTTCCTTCATCCCTCTCTATTGCTGTATCCTTTTATGCATATGGACTACTCAGAGGGCTGAAGAAGTTATTTCTGACTGGTCCTCGCACTTTTGACCAGTCCTTGAACTTACGACTGTCCTCACATTTTACGTTTTTGCCCTATCTTGTCACCATGGTGAAGAGAAGCAGTTGTGAAATGGGTGACACGGTTGTTAAGAATGCTACAATGGGATTAAATGATGACCAGTCATAAGTGCGAAGACCGATCAAAAGTGCGAGGACCTGTTAGAAATCACTTTTTTCAGCCCTCTGAGTAGTCCTATACACATAGCCATGGCCACTTGGTCACATGACCAGCTAGCCACACCCACCCAGTCACATGACCTCCAAGCCACGCCCATAAAATAAGCCACGCCCACAGAACCGGTAGTAAAAAATTTTAGAACCCACCCCTGGTTGGGGGTCACCACAACATGAGGAACTGTATTAAAGGGTCGCGGCATTAGGAAGGTTGAGAACCACTGTGCTAGGTGGAAGGTGAGCTCTCCAAATCATCTGAGGAAAACAGTGTTCACAGGAAAAAATGGGTCATTTGATCAGTTTTTGCTCTGATTATATTTGTATCCTTGCAGGAGCAACATGATAAACAGCCAGATTAGGTCTGATTCAACACTTTCCTTAGGTTTTAAAAGATAATATTGGTACAATGTTTCATGAGGAATGATTTCGCTTTTCCCAAAAAGATTTTGGGAATAGATACATCCAAGTTTGCATTACTTCATAGCATTTGGTATTAGCTGATGTAGGGTAATACATATTAAGTTACTCATATTTAGCACCATAACAGATTGGAAGCAGAGTCAAACCTTCATTAAAAACAAGGCCCCTTAATTTCTGACCCAAACATACCAAGTAGATCATTCTGTGGAAGCCAATTAAACAGCTTTGTATTGTTGGCAAGATTGATTGGAGCTTCACCGGTATATCTCCACAACACCTTCATAGATTAAAATATATAGCAAGTGATAAAGATAGATAGATAGATAGATAGATAGATAGATAGATAGATAGATAGACAGATAGATAGATAGATAATTCATATTTATATAAATCTGAACTAGTTAATTTATTAACATTTTAATCTACAAGAAAGATACTCAAAACAAGTACCATTTTAATAGATATTGTCAACTGAAATACTCATAATGACTTCAGTTGACAAGCATACATTTAGAACAGCAGAATATATATAAACTGAAATGGGTTTTATACTAATCCAATCTACGTTGTACTTCAGTCTTCCATGACTCTTTGAGGGGAAAGAGCCACAGTGAAAAATTAAAAACCCATGTAGACAAGAAATATTGGAAATGTCAAACGGCTGTTCCATTGCTTGCAGAGTGGCAGAAGCACTTCCTTTAAATTTACCACTGTTTAAAAAATGTTGGGCAGCAACTTCTAAGGAATAAATAGTGAACTGAAGATGGCTCTGCCATAAATAGAGCTGATAACCACAACAGAACTAGTGAATAGTCAATGAGTAGACTGGCCATCTCTGGCAGGTTTTGAATTCCAGGAAAGGAAGGATTGGCCATCATGCTCAAACCATGGTCAGTGCCATAGAAAGGATATTAGGTTTACATACTTCCTTTTCTAATCACTTTCAGAAATTGGTTGTTACTGTAACTGCTTTTCAGCTATTAAGAACCTTTGGATCAACAAGTTACAGCACCAGATAAGCTTCCTTCATATTTCTATTTAAGAAGTTTTAAATACAAGTACAAGAACTTAATTTTTTAAAATGAACAGCAGAAGGATTATTAGAATCTTGATTTTGGAAAATTAAAAATGGACTAAGGCTTCAGATGGATTTGAAATAAATTTTTGAAATAAATTATAAAAATCCTTCCTGTGGTAAAATGCTTTTGAATTTTTTTCTTAAAAATCATGAATAGCATGTGACTTTGAAGGTTGAACACTATAGGAAACTAGAAGGGACTAAAGATTACAATTAAAAGAGAAGAACATTTACATTTTGCTTACTAATACAGAATGGAATGAAATATTTTAACATTGGGCATACTGAAGGATATTTGGAATAATGGACCCAGAAATTAAACACTATAGATACTGTTTAAAAGATGTTATAGGAGAGGAACAAGTTTTGCCAGCAACACTTAGACTAAGGTGACCAGACGTCCCGCTTTTGGCGGGACAGTCCCGATTTTTAGCAATTTGTCCCGCGTCCCGCAGCGTTTCAAAAAAGTCCCGATTTTTCATTCTGCCTCCTGAGTCCTGGCTGCCTCCTGAGTCCCAGATGATGGCTAGAGGAAAAAAAACTGTTTAAACTCTTGCCGCGGAGCTTCAAAGGGCCGACCTACAGCTGATCAGTGTTAAAAGAAAACAAATGAGTGCAAAAATAGAAAAAACAGCCTGCAAAAATAGAAAAAACAGCCCCCTACAGCTTCCGCATAGGTTAATTGGCTGCAAAGAGTTCCTGGAACAGATTTTTTTCCCCTTAGCTATGCTGAAAAAGCGAAAGCGAAAGTAAAGCTGCAACGTGACAAAATGAGGCAGAGAGAGATTTCTTTTTCTTTTTCTTTTTCCTCACCAAAAAAGGTAGGTACAAAACTGCAAACAATGGGAAATGTAGGGCAAAAGAGGAGAGAGAATTTTAAAACACAAAAGAAAAAAACCTCTATTTAACTAGGGAATTGTAATAATTGAGATACTATTAATAATTGTATATTGTGTTGAAAGCAGAAATGGTTAAGTTGTGGTTTGGAGGAATATATGGGGGAAATTATTTGGTTTATTATTATTGGTAAATATAATTAATTGATTTGTAAGAAATTGGATTGCATGGAAATAATTTGAATATTCATGTTCATATTGATTAATATACAAAAAAGATAGTTATCTAACTTAACGATTTATATTAAAATGTTGAATTTGTATTAAACAACTGTATTACATAATTACATAATTAACCAATGTGAGGATGGATATAAAAATAGATGACAATGGGAAGGGGTATAATATAGAATAGAAGGGAAAATTGAATTTGATTAAGATTAGAGATGAGGATGAAGGGTAATATTGTTTTTTTAAAAAAATAGATGAGGAATAAATATGGCAAAAAGGAAATATAGAAATTGTAAATTTAATTGAAATGACTAAACACTGTTTAAATTTGTGAACCAGCCAAATATTCTGTTCAAAGAAAATACATTGTATGTTTGTATGTGTGTTTCTAATTATTGCTATTTATCTATATTTGTTCTCTTTTATTCTTTAAAGTTTAACAATTCATTCTTTATCTTAATATCTTTATATTTGCTTGGGGTTGGCTTTCTTCCCTTTCATCTTTTTTATTGTACAGCAATCTTTCTCCTCAAACCTACCACCTCTCTCTTTTCTTTCCTTCTTACTTTCTCTTCCCTCCACCCTCTTTTTCTCCTCCCTACTTCCTCTTCCTTTCTCCTTCTCCTCCTCTCTTCCTCCCTCTCTTACCCTCACTCCTACTCTAATTTCCCTTCCTTCATCCCTCTCTATTGCTGTATCCTTTAATGCATATGGACTACTCAGAGGGCTGAAAAAGTTATTTTTGACTGGTCCTCGCACGTTTGACCAGTCCTCAAACTTACGACTGTCCTCACATTTTACGTTTTTTGCCCTATCTTATCACCATGGTGAAGAGAAGCAGTTGTGAAATGAGTGACATGGTTGTTAAGAATGCTGCACGGGCATAAATGTGAGGATGGTCATAAGTGTGAGGACCAGTCAAAAGTGTGAGGACCTGTCAGAAATGACTTTTTTCAGCCCTCTGGTTAGTCCTTTTGTGACTGGTCCTCGCACTTTTGACCAGTCCTCAAACTTACGACTGTCCTCACATTTTATGTTTTTTGCCCTATCTTATCACCATGGTGAAGAGAAGCAGTTGTGAAATGAGTGACATGGTTGTTAAGAATGCTGCACGGGCATAAATGTGAGGATGGTCATAAGTGTGAGGACCAGTCAAAAGTGCGAGGACCTGTCAGAAATGACTTTTTTCAGCCCTCTGAGTAGTCCCTATACACATAGCCATGGCCACCTGGTCACATGACCAGCTAGCCACGCCCACCAGTCACATGACCTCCAAGCCACGCCCACAAAATAAGCCACGCCCACAATGGTGTCCCTCTTTACCAATGTTAAAATCTGGTCACCTTAACTTAGACTGATCTTAACATGGATTTAAAAATAATAGGCTACAAAATGATGTGGAAAAAGATACAATGCTGGACAGAGAAAAGAAAAAATCAAGAGAGTAATCAGAATAATTTTCTTATATTGGATTTACAAAAGAAGCTTGTTAAAGCTTTGAGGAATTTTTTGAGAAGGAATAAAGAAAATAGGAAAAGAAATCAAGTTTTAGAACATTATTTGAAGAGGACTAAATATTAAGATTGTTAAAAGTAAAGAAGAAGGAATATGAAATTTATTTGATCAATGTTTAAAAAGTATGTTATTTCTGGTAACCCTTAATGGATTTTTGATGATCAAGACTGAAATGACAAGGTTTTAAGGCACTGTTTGTAAGTAACTAGGATATGGATAAGCAAATACTGTAGGGTATGGAAAGAAGAGATAATTTGTTGTATTTTAAAGGTTTTAATATTTTACTTCACACTTGTTGTGATGAAGGGGGAAGTAATTTCTGTCAAGAAATTTCTGCCCAGTAATATTTATCCAGACTTTCTTTTCCTTAAATTTCATCCCATTATCCTTGTTTCTCACTTGGTTTAACAGAGAATATATCTTCATATACACAATAAATTTTAGATTTGCTTTTCTTACTGTCTGTGGTATTGTTCCCAATCCTTCAGCAATTTCCATGGCTTTTTTCATTTGAATTTCAGAAAGCATTGATCCCAGAGAAAACACCACAACTCCATCTTCACCAGATTTCTCCAATATGCTTTCAAACTCCTATCAAAATAAAATTTCAAAGATAAGTTATTTGAAAGTTTGAATAGAATCTCCCATCTTAATAGATGACTAAAAAAAAACATTTCACTTGCAAATAATTTAGCAAAGAGTGAAACACAATAATTCAATTGAAAGGTAAAAATTTAAAAAATTACAATAACTTATTTGGGTTATAAATCACAACACACCAAGTTATAATTTATAATAACCAAATTATGTTTCAGTCTAGTCAATGTTCAAGTGCCAAATAGTCATCTTGAATTCATTAAAATACATTATTTTCTATACCAACTACATAATTTAATATTATAAAAGGCTAATATTTAAAATCTATAGTTGACATTTTAATAATCCATGTTGCCAGCATCAGTTGGCTTAACTATATTTTACAGTTCAGAAACATACTGTATATTTCTAGATATAATTTTTGTCTGATTTTCCCAATTATTGGAAAGAGCCTTTTCCAGAATTCTTAAGCAGCTAATCATTAGTAATCTAGTCCTTAATTCCCCAAACATTTCACATATCTATTTGTCTTCCATTCACTTATTTTTTTTTTTTGCTTCTGAACAAAGCTGCATAAATTAAATGAATATGATTTTAAAAGTATTTATTAGAATAATATTGCTTTTGTAAGTAAAGCATGCTTAACCAGGCCAGTTTACACAATTTTCATACTCTTTCATTCTCTGGCAAATAGCACTTGATAGTTTAGCATTGACTGTCCCAATTTTGTCAAAATATTTCAATCCTAATTTAACACTTTGAAAAATATATATGACTATAAAAAAATAAAAAAACCAACCTGTGTTAATGGATTCTCCTTTGCACAGTTTATACCCCCAATGAAAATCATATTTGGCATGATAGGCCTTGGATATTCAAATACAAAGTCATAGCGAAGAAGCCAAATGGAAGCTTGGCTATATAGCTCTAGTACTGTCATATCTCGATGCAGGAATTCCTTGATCAAAATTTCAAATGGTGAGTAAACAAAGTAACACACCATGAACTGAAATGAGCCAAATAAAAAATTATTTACTCGTTGATTAAATGTCATATGATCAGTACTGCCTGTATAGAATTTGGGGATATAGGAAAGTGGGTTTGGACACTTAGTCGCCTCAGAATCTAAACCACATGGAATTCCACGTAAGAAGAAAAGAGAAGGGATGGATAAATATTCAGCCACAATTTGACCACATGGAGACACTGGATCCATAACTACAACACTGAATTTGTTATCTTGAAGGTAAGTAATCAAATCTTTGTTGTACAAAAGCTGTTTACAGTTATTTAAGTAAAACATTGTAATATTCCTTATTCTTCCAAATGTCTCAGTAATTCTTGCCAGGAAAGGCTGATGTACAAAAATCTTATAACCCAATTTCTGAAGTTCTGTTTTCAAATATTCCGTTGAATAGGGCACAGCAAATGTTTTCACTATGTAATGATCAGATGGTTTCATCAGCAAATTAACATCAGGAACCACAGCTACTACTTGATGTCCTCTGTGCTGAAGGCGTTCCATAACTGGTTGAATACTGAGCCAGTGACTGCCATCCATAGGTATTACCAACACCTTCCCTCCATATGAAAGTCTCCAGAAAAAAAAGGTAAGTAAAAACCATATAGATTGCTGGCAAATATAATGAAGCATAGAATTATTCTTGTCAATTATGTTGAATTTTAATCCAAAGGTGAAAGAACCCATTGTTCTTTACATGAACATATCAAACAAAGCTTACTTGAGCCTTCAGCTTTTTCTTTTCTGTAAATATTTAATTTCTTCTGCAAGGAGAAGTGTAATGGAACTTTAAAACCTGGTCAAAGGTTGATTCAGTAATGAAACCTTAAGAAATTTGCAAAATAACTGACTTGCTGGAAATGCAGCAATACATTTTGAAATAAAGTTCTGAAGGAGCTGGCAGAACCATTGTACCATATCTTTCAAAAATCCTGGAACACTGGGGAATTACCTAGTGACTGGAAAACAGCAGATGTGGTTCCCATCTTCAAAAAAGGAGAAAAAAACAGACCCAGGAAACTACAGACCAATCAGTTTTACATCAATACCTGGGAAGATACTGCAAAATATAATTAAAAAACAGATGTGCGAACATCGAGAAACAAATAAAGTTATAAATAAAAGCCAGCATGAGTTTGTTAAAAAGAGATCATGCCAAACCAATCTTATTTCATTCTTTGACAAAGTGACCAAATTAGTAGACCAGCAAAATGCTGTGGACATAAACTTCAGCAAGGCATTTGACAAAGTAGACCGCAACCTACTTGTTGGTAAGCTAGGAAAATGTGGGATAGACAGCATCACCATCTGATGAATTTGTAACTGGATGACAACATACTCAATGAGTAGTCCTTAATGATACTACATCTATATGGATGTAAATAAGCAGAAGGGTTATTTATAATTATATTTATTTATAATAAACAGAAGTTCTGTTTTAGGCCCAGTATACTTCAATATCTTCATAAATGACTTAGATGAGGGAATAGAAGGGGAAACTCATCAAATTTGCAGATGACACTAAGTGTTCTGTCCCCGTCTCACACACGCACACAAACAGACAGCCGGGGGTTAAATAAACTGGCAGACAACCAATTCTTCCGATAAGAAGCTTGGCAGCAACCCAGTAGTTGCTTGCCAAGAACTTTACTCACAAACAAAATACACAGAGTCAAGAATTGTCCAGTTCGTAAAATAAATCCAAGGCCGATAATGTTGTTTCCAAAGATGCAATGTGACTCGATAGTAGTTAGTTTTGTCCGTCACAGAGTCTGAATGGCCACCTCACCCCCTTTTATACCCTGTGGGGTGTGGTCCAGTGACTCAGCTTAATCTCTGGCACGCCTTTTCTTCTGTTGCGCGCGCTTATCTCTGCGACGCTGCCGAGGATCCAGCCAAGACTCATTTCCCTCATCACTGTCCACCTGTGGCTGCGTGGATGTGCTTGGCCCCGGCCCTATCTCTTGCCCTTCGGCAGACACCGAAGGCATTGCCAGAGAGGAGGGTCCTGGAGAGGGAGGCCTTGCCAACTCCTCTCCTTCACTCTCGGAGTCCTCTCCTGCCGATGACACAGGCTCAGGTAACGGAGCCACAACACTAAGCTGGTAGGAATAGCCAACACCCCAGAAGACAAGCTGAAAAAGATCTTGACAGACTTGAACAATGGGCCCTATCCAAAAAAAATGAAATTTAGTGTGGAAAAAAGTAAGGTTTTACATGGATTAAAATTACACGCAAGAAAAACCAAAGGTACAAGTACAGATTAGGCAAAACCTGGCTCAAAAACAGTAACTGTGAGAGGGACCTTGGAGTCCTAGTGGATGATAACTTAAATAAACCAGCAGTGTGTGGCAGCAGCTAAAAAAGCTATCCTTGGTTGTATAAACAGGCATAGAATCAAAATCATGTGAAGCTTTAGTAAATAAAAATATTTATAAAGCCTTAGTAAAGCCACACATATTGCATCTAATTTTGATCACCACATTATGAAAAGGATTAGAGGGGACACAATGGCAGTATTCCAGTATTTGCGAAGTTGCCACAAAGAGGAGGGGATAAATTATTTTTCAAAGCACCCGGCAGGACGAGAAACAATGGATGGAACCTAATCAAGGAGAGAAGAAATCCGGTGGCACCGCAGGCATCGGCAGCAGCTCCTTTGGGGGCGCTAACCCCCAGCAAAATTCAGCTGTTCTAGCGGCTCGGAACTTTCCCCTCAGGAGAAGAGAGGAAGGCGAGCAGACAGGTGTGGGTAGAGCTCCCCAGGAACCCCAAGATTAATCCTGGGGCGCAGAGGGTGAGAGCTCCCCAAGCACCTGAAGAAGCTCCGGATCAGAGACATGTCTGTTTTTTTAACAGAACAAGGTGCCGCGACCACCCCTGCGAACTAAATGATCTTACAGCTATTGGTTTTAAAGCAGGCAGAGCAAGACAGGAGAAATCACAACTGCAAGTATTAAACTTTAACTCTAATAAATTACTACTTCCTTCGGAGCTTGAGATGGGAGAAAGCTTAAAAAAGATGGCGCTGAGTTGCTTAAGGGCATGAAATCAAAAGTTAAAAGAGAAAGTGCTTGTTAACGCTCATTAACGCTCGTTAACGCTGTCAGTACCTCTTAAAAGACTTTGTTGGGGAATTTTGAGGATTGGAAACTAAAGAATACAATATTGACTTATCAATAAGCCATAATAATTATTAAGGACTGAGATTAAGAAGATTCTGCTTCTTCTTCTGCTTCTGCTTGGTTCTGCTGAGTGGTTGGTGGGAAAGTGTTGGAGATGGCTGCGAAGCAAATAAAAACTGTTGTGACTAAAAGTGCGGGGACTTCTCCAGCTCAAACATCAAAAATGCAGTCTTTGTTAGCCCCACCAGATACACAAACATTGACACTAGAAGTTCTTCAGGGAGCTTTAAAGAAATTGTCTACTGAATTGTCTAATGATTTGGAAGAAAAAATCACACTCCGTTTTGAGGAAAAAATTAAAGAGTGTCTGAGGAATTACTTGAAATTAAAGAAACAATTCAAACCCAGAATGGTGCAATAAGAGAAGATATTGTGGAAGCATTTAAGGGACTGGTGGGTCATGTTACATCATTGGAAGAAAGGGTGGATGAAATTGATCAGTTTAATTTGAATGTGGAAGCTAAATTGGGAGAGGCTCAAAACAAGATGGAAAAGGCAGAAGCAGAACTTATAATGCCACAATACAGAGCGATGACATGGGCAGTGAGGGTCAGAGGCTTGAAAGAAAATAACCAGGAAAATCTCAGAGAAATCTTTGCAGAAGCCCTTGCTCAGTTTACTGGAGAGTCTAAAGCAGAGTGTGACTAGCAGATAGACAAAATTTATCGCGTTAATTGGATTGCCAGACAGAGAAAATTACCAAGAGATATTGTGATTTACTTTGTCATAAGGAGAACAAGAAATGGAATTTTACAAGTCTCTTATAAGAAGAAACTTCAAGTGGCAGGACAGGAGGTTTCAGTAATGAAGGAGATTCCCCCAAAAATGTTGAGATCTCGAAAGGACTATGCATTCTTAATTGATGAACTTAGAAGGCGTCAGTTACAGTACAGATGGGAAGCTCCAGCCAGATTAGTGGTGAATTATTTGGGTGAGAGACATCGTCTCAACTCAGTTTGGAAAGCAAGAGATTTTTACACTACCATACTAAAGGCTGGAAACCTACCATCTCCAGATGCCAGAAGAAGGAAAGAACCAGGAGAGGTCAGAAAGGGGGAAAAGGAAATTATGCAGGCACAAGTTCAAGGAGGTGTTTTGACTACTCAACAAGAACTATTGCAACTCTCAGAGGATGTTCAACTCCTGGATTTATTTGAAAAAACGGAAGACCCCAAGGATCAAAGATAAACTCGAGCAGCAACCAAACGCAAAGAACAAGAACTAAAGAAGCAACAAAGCCAGATAACAGCCCAAGAAATTGTAACTACAAATATGGAAGCTGTGGGAGGAGCTAGACCGAAGAGGAAATTCCAGGAGGACTTCCAGTCGATGCTCCATAAGCTTTCAGGGGCCAAGGATGGCAAATAAATTTTTGACCTGGAATGTTAATGGCCTAAACTCACCACAAAAGAGAAAGAAAATATTTCACTATTTGAAACAGTTTAAAAATGATGTAATCTGCTTGCAAGAAACACATATTAGAATAAGTGATCAGAAATACCTAATAAATGCTAGATTGGGCAAACACTTTGTTGCATCAGCTCCTGAGAAAAAAAATGGTATAGTTATATACCTAAGAACAGATCTAATGGCTAAATTAATTGAAGCAGATCCACAAGGAAGATATATAATGATTGAACTATTAATAGAAGGGAAGAAAATACTTTTACTGGAAGTATATGCACCTAATCAGCAACAAGAGAAATTTTATAAACTTTTGCATAAAAAATTAATACAAATGGATTACAAATCATGCATAATGATGGGCGATTGGAATGGTGTATTGGACACCAAAAAAGACAAAAAGACTCTTTTGCCAAATGTTCAAACACGGGCTAAATTGCCTAAATCTTTTTTTGACATGATGGATGATATGGACTTGAGAGATATATGGCGTGAACGAAATTTTAAAGAACAGGATTTTACTTTTTTTTCTGATAGGCACCAATCTCTTTCTAGAATTGATTTTATACTAATTACAAATGATTTTCTTTCCAGGGTAAAAAAGACGAAGATATGTCCAAGAACCTTAACAGACCATAATCCGGTGTGGATGGAACTAGAGTCTGGGGAGGGGTCCAGGAGATCTTGGAGACTGAATGAAAACTTGTTTCGATATGAGGCAAATGTGATAGAATGTAAAAAGTTAATGAAATAATTTTTTGTTTTAAATATGTATAAGGGTACACCTGTGGAAATGGTATGGGATGCAAGTAAAGCATATATGAGAAGAGTTTTAATAAATTTGAATAATTCCTATAGACGTAGACAGGGGAAAAAATGGAGGGAATTGGAAGAGGAAATAAAAAAGAAAGAACAGGCGTTAGTGGATAAACCAGATGACAAGAATATAAAAGAAACCATTACAATATTGCGAGGACAGTTTAATATGTTGATGTCAGATCAAGTTGCAACGAACTTGCAATATGCTAAACATAATACTTTTTGTAACGCAAATAAACCAGCATATATGGAAAAAACAAAA